GCCTGTGGGTGATATTTGTTCCGGGTGGAGTGGGAAGAGTGGAGGCACTCGGGCGCAGTGTCTGAAAACGGATCCAGGTTGTGATACGCTAGTCAGTGTCCCCTTCTCGCTAGTCAGTGTCCCCTTCTGCCAAAGGGAGATAGATAATGACCACCACCCTTTTGGGAAGAGAAACTAGGTTCGCATGTGATAAGATCTTTGTTAACTCTCCCACCAACTTCGAAGGCAGGGATGCATTTATTTACTTATATATCCCCAGCACCAGGCCTGTTGCCCAGCAAACTCAAATGTTTGTTGATTGAATGCATGAATGAATAATGCAGGGAAGTATACAGGACATGGGAAACCCTGAATCATGTAAAATTACTAAGAACTCATTCAACCATGAAGAAGTGGATCTCCACATGAGCCCTCCTATCTACCCACATTTAGGTAAAAATGAATGGGCTAATGTTTGTGAGGAAGCGTTTTAAAATGAGCATCAACAGAGGGATATGTCTTCCAGCCCTTCCTCTCTTGTCAGTTGGAGTCATGGGCAGCATAGGCTGTGACTGATGTGACCTACCAGCTATTGATTCATTAAATTCCTCCATCACCTTCAGGAAACTACAGTGGTCAATCTCATAGACGGGGAAATATATTCAGAGACAACCTTTCTGAGTTTTGGGTAAAGGGGCCCTTTCCACCTGGAATTTCTTTGTTTCCTAGTTTTCTGTATCTATGCTTCATAGAAGACTTGATTTGGAAGTCAGATTCCTCTCATTTTAATCACGGCCCCACCACTCTCGCCCCTCTTAGCCTCAGTCGAGTCATTGAACCTCACTGGGTCTCCGTTTCTTCATCTGTGAAGTAGGGGTGGGTAGTGGCCATGAGAAAGCATATGCCTTGCAGGTCTCCAATACCCATAGGGAGCAAGAGGGAGCAAGGGAGCATAATTGACCAAGAGCTTGAGCTGCTACCGTGGAACCCATGGTGGGCTTGCCCTGTGGGCACATTTCCCGAGGGCTGCTCCCAGCGGGGACTGAGTGCTGCAGGGCCCTAAGGCGAGTGTCTTCCGGGAAGACACAGGACTCCTCACATGGCCAACTTTGGCTCAAAAACTCTTCAGTTGCCATGCTGAATCTCTCCTACGCTGCAGGGGCTCTTGAATGTTCTTATCCATCTTTCCTCCCTCTCTCCTTTACTGAGGACCAGACTCACAGTGTGTCTGCTGGCTATGCTAGCCCCAAAAGGATTCCCATTTTCTCTCACACATGCATTTCCCCTAATAAAATTTCGTCTTGGTGCCTGTTGCTCAAAAGACCTGGAATCACACGGGGCAATCATTCCTCATGCTAAGGACCAAATGCAACACTGAAAGAAAAGGGTTTATAAGAGTGACGGGCACAAAGAAAGTGATAGGATATCCTGTTACCTTCAGCATCACATGGCCATTTTGCTTCTTTGCTGGCTTCAGGCACAGCAAGCTCAAGCAGCATTCAAGGTCACATGGCAACTTTGTATTAGAGTGAGAGCCATTATGGCTCCTGAGGAGAAGAAATGGATTAATCAAAACACTCTTTAAAAATGTATCCAATTAAAGCAAAAGACACAAACCAAGTCCCTTGTCAGCCAATGAAATGTGCAGCCAACTTTGCTAAGGCATCCAACTCCATTTTTCAGTCTATTACACAAAAGATTTGTAATATATGGAGGTTCCTGCCAGTGCCCCTGGTGTCTATAAATATACAGTCAAGCCTTATTTCTCGAACGTCTCCCATCTCAAACAATTCGATTTTTTTAAAATATATATATTTTATTGATTTTTTTACAGAGAGGAAGGAAGAGGGATAGAGAGCTAGAAACATTGAACAGCTGCCTCCTGCATACCCCCTACCGGGGATGTGCCAGCAACTAATGTACATGCCCTTGACAAGAATCGAACCTGGGACCTTTCAGTCCATAGATCAATGCTCTATCCACTGAGCAAACTGGTTTCGGCAAACAATTTGATTTTTTACCAAGTTGTTCACAGAAAAAAATGTCTTCCTTGTTGACCAAAACTTCAGTTTCCTACCTGACAGCCCTTTCATGCTGATATCCCAACATGACAAAAAGCTTCTCCAAGGCAACAAGCAAGGGAGAGAATGCTTTTGTTGCTCATGAAATTGAGGAATAGCACAATTTTAAAACACAAAGAGGCCAGCAAGAGTGCTAATGTTGCTAAGGGTGTGAAAGTGCTCACAAAACAGCAATGGTTGGCAATTGAATAAGTGGAAAAACTGTTGTTTGGATAAAGGAAAAGCAGTTAGCTGATGATAGCATTTTGTAGGCAGTGATATATGAAAAATTCTTTTAAAGCTCATAGGGGGGTAGTTCTACAAATTTAAGAAAATAAATATTTATAAATTAAGCAGTACATTAGACATGTGCTGTGACAGGGAATCATTTGGCGATCTGGAGCAGATTAATTCAATTTACATTATTTCTAATAGGCAAAAATTTAGGACAAATCACTTCTAGAACAGTTAAGTTCAAGAAATGAAGTGCTGCAGTCATTAAACCAGGGCACCTCATTTGCTGTTCCTGAGAACCCTGTGGAGGTGACGAAGAATTGGCCATCATTATTCCTATCTTGCAGATAAGAAAACAGAAACTAAGAGGTGGTTTCAAGGTCACCCACATACTCACAGGTTTGGGACCAGAACTCTGGTTTTTGCTCCTAATGCTTTGGAAACTCAGGGTTTGGTGGATTCTGTTTTAACTCTCTTCCAAGGGACAGCCTCTTTGCAAACTGGTACCATGAACTGGCCTGGAAAGACCTTTCTCAACTCCACTTCTGCCCAGCTTTGGGGTCCTAGAAACCCTGGAATAATCCATGCAGGAGTCAGTAAAGGGGACCCAGCAGCTGGCCTCCATGCTCAGGCCCATCATTTCACACCCAGTGGGGCTCCATCCTGATAGTTGCTACCTAAGGCTGTGGACTGTGTTCCTTAAGTAGATTGTCTTCACCCCCACACTGGGAGGGACAGAGACTTAGCCCCACTGCCAAACAGCTCCTCATGCGCATGCAGTACTAAATGAATGCTTGTTGCGGAGGACAGTGGTGATTCTTAAATCTCTCAATCAGATATTCAATAATTGTGTAGTGTTCATGTAACTTAGAAGGAAATGTAACATGTAATGACTTTATTTGATTGAATAATCCATATATAAGCTGGTAGTTACGACACACACTGACCACCAGGGGGAAAGATGCTCATTGCAGGAGCAGAAACCACAGGCATGGAAACATGAAACAGACTGATGAATCTCAGAAAGAAGCTGGGAGGAGGGGAGGCTGAGAAGAGATTAATCAAAGGTCTTACATGCATACTAGAGGCCCAGTGAATGGATTCATGCACCGGTGGGGTTCTTTGGCCTGGCCTGCAGGGATTCGGCCAAAACTGCCTCTCCCCCAAGGAGTCCTGAATTGCAAGAGAGTACAATGGCCAGGCCAAGGGACCTCACCAGTGCACAAATTCATGCACCAGGCCTCTAGTATATAATAAAGGCAGTTGTTCAGGTTGGTTTCCAAAGAGAAGAGTAGATTTTGAGGCTCTGGGAGGAAAGGCTAATGTACGAACCTAGATTCCCTGAGGTAGTAATCCTTCCAGCCAGGTATTGTCAGGGTCACTGGTGTTTCCCAAGGAAGAAACTGAGCAGTTTAGCTCTCAGTAGTGAGGTCGTTTGCTGCACGTAGGTAATGAGGTTTGTCATCTCTTAATACCTTATTTACACAAAGGTCAGGCTACACCATGACAGAGACCATAGTAAGCATTAGTATAATAAAGGGAGGACAAACCCAAAGGGAAATGGCTGTTTTCTGAAATAGCACTGTGTGTGCAATACCACCCTCAACTTCCTGCCATTCCAGAAAAGACCCCAACTTCACACATTTATTTCCAAAGTAATGAGATTGCTCTCACAGAGATAAGGGACCTTGGAGAATTCCATGTATGTAAACCAAGGGAAATTTTCTTCTCAGTGGCTTCTTATTAGAGTAAAATAGAAGAAAACTTTTATTATTAATAGGTCATGAGTGATTACAGCTGAGTCATCACATTATCTGTTGAGAGGTATGTTTAGGAGGCATTTTAGTATTCTTATATTCTTCAGGAAACCAAGTTAATTGGCATTAATATCACCCATTGCTTCCTTCTTTCACTATGGCCACCTTTCTTTTTCTTTGCCTTTAGTAATCTTCAGAAACCAAACTTTCTTGACTATGTCTCATTTTTAAAAAATATACTTTATTGATTTTTTTTTTACAGAGAGGAAGGGAGAGGGATAGAGAATTAGAAACATTGATGAAAGAGAAACATCAATGTTTCTGCAGCCTTCTACACACCCCCGACTGGGGACGTGCCCACAACCAAGGTACATGCCCTTGACTGGAATCGAACCTGGGACGCCTCAGTCCGCAGGCCAACATTCTATCCACTGAGCCAAACCAGTCAGGGCAACTGTGTCTCATTTTTGCCTCATCACCCTTGCAGCCAGCTCACCCTTCTTTTGTTTGTTTTTTGACCACAGTCCTGGCTAACAGTGACTGTTAAATTTGCTAGTCATTCACCTTCTCTCTGCTTTTTGGTATCAGCAAGCCCTCAGTACATGGTCAGAGTAGCTGGGTATCCATCTCTCATTTATTTCCTGTCCACGTGGAACAATGTCTGTTTTTCCAATATGGTGATTTGCTGTGTATCTTATATATTGTTTGAACAAGGAGAGAGGAGATGAATAATGGGGACCGGGCTCCAAATTTGGACCCTTGTAGAAAAATAGAAGCATTTCAAATGCAATTAATAACATAAAAAAAAAAAAACTAATACTGATCACGTTCCCCAAATGCATCTTGGTGAGCCATACTTCTCGTGCTTGAAAGCTGGCATGAGGAAGACATCTGTGTTTAACCTCTGAGCAGTTTTGTGTTCTGTGTTTATAAACAAACTCTCTTTTCCTCTCCTCCCCCTGTTTCCCAGTGGCCGTTCCCGCAGCAGCGCCCCCAGTGTGCCAGCCCAAGGGTGCCACTAACGGGCACTACCCGGCCCCACGCCTGTCCATCTCCTCCCGAGCCACAGTGGTAGCCAGGATGGAAGGCGCCCCCCAGGGGGGCCTGCAGACCGTCATGAAGTGGAAAACCGTGGTTGCCATCTTCGTGGTGGTGGTGGTCTACCTTGTCACGGGTGGTCTCGTCTTCCGGGCTCTGGAGCAGCCCTTTGAGAGCAGCCAGAAGAATACCATTGCCTTGGAAAAAGCAGAGTTCCTGAGGGACCACGTCTGCGTGAGCCCACAGGAGCTGGAGACATTGATCCAGGTGAGCAGGGCGGGAGTCAACCAGAGCCACCTGTGGGGACAGAGGACAGCACCGATCTTGTCTTTCTGGTTCTGGGATGACCTGCCTTTGGTTAAGATGCTCCTCATGGTCGGAGAGGACCTCTCTGGGGAGGTGACATTTGAGCCGAGACCTCAAAGAAACCAGAGAATAAGACCTGTGACAATGTTGGGGCAGAGGGGCCATACACAGTGGTCCTAATGTAGGAGCAGGCTGTGACCTGCACCACCTGCTTTTGGATGTGGTGACCAGAAGCAACAGCAGGCAAAACAGGCCGTGGGTTTCCAAATTCAAGTCCACCCATGTGCGCTGATTAACTTCCTGGTTCTGAAGTCCACGTGAGATGCTGGGGTAAGAGTGTGCCCTAAGAGCCAAAGGAAGAAGGCATTTTATTTTATTTTATTTTATTTTATTTTATTTTATTTTATTTTATTTTATTTTTTGAAAATAAAAAAATTAATTGAATTTATTGGGGTGACAGTTAATAAAATTATATAGGTTTCAGGTATACAGTTCTATAATAATTCATATTGTTCTATAATAATTCATCTGTTTGTTCACCACTCCAAGTCAAGTCTCTTTCCATCACTGTTTATCCCCCCATACCCTCTTCTACCTCCCCCACCCTTTTCCCTCTGGTAATCACCATACTATTGCCTGTGTCTTTGAGTTGTTTGTTTTTTGGCTTAATCCCTTCACCTTTTTCACCCCACAATCCCCTTCCCCCCTGACAGCGGCCAGTCTGTTCTCTATCTATGAGTCTGTTTCTGTTTTGTTTGTTAGTTTATTTTGTTCATCAGATTCCACATGTGCATGAAATCATGTGGCATTTGCCTTTCTCTGATGAGCTTATTACACTTAGCACAATACTCTCTCCTGGTCCCTCCATGCTATCTCAAAGGGTAAGATTTTCTTCTTTTTTATGGCTGAGTAGCATTCTGTGAGTAAATATACCACAGCTTTTTATCCATTCATCTACTGATGGGCACTTGGGCTGCTTCCAAATCTTGGCTATTGTAAATAACACTGCAATGAACATACAGGTGTATATCCTATATAATAAAAGGTTAATATGCAAATTGACCAAACAGCAGAACAACTGGTCGCTATGATGTGCACTGACCACCAGGGGGCATACACTCAGTGCAGGAGCTGCCCCCTGGTGGGCAGTGTGCTCCCACAGGGGAGTGGGCCTAAGCTGACAGTCAGACATCCCCTGAGGGTTCCTGGACTATGAGAGGGTGCAGGCCGGGCTAAGGGCTCCCCCGCTTCCTGAGTGCAAAAACCTCATGCACTGGACCTCTAGTTTTCTAATAAAGAAGGAGTTTTGAACAAGCTGGTATGCTTTAACCTGTCAAGATCAATGAAGATGGAGCAAAGAATAAAACCACCAGATGTGGAGCAACCATTTTGGTGGATTTATGGGAATGAAAAGTTAAGAATATCAGTAATAATCAAGGTTTCTGTTTGTGGACACTTTCTGTGTGCTAAGATCCTTGCATACCCTGGATATTAATGGAAAAAAGTCGGCAAAGAGAGAACTGAGTCCCAGCAGGAGGAAATGAAAATGGTTGAGAGCCCAGCTTGGAGGTGAGGGAGGTTGGCTACTTCTGAGGCTGAAGATTGATTTCCTTTCCTACACACCTTCCTGAACCATGAGGGGTTGGTCATGGTGGAAGGTGGTGACCTTCCAGTCAGAATCTGGCCAGGCAGAGTCTCATCTTTCTGGAGTGTCTAAAGTTTGGAAAGCACAGGGACTTAAAGGACAGCTTCCATGATTCCTTCTGGCTCTGCATTTCCCTCTGGATTATCTGCATTAAATTCTAATGGCTACTACAATTCAAGATTCTGCAGGATTTGAAAATCTGGGCTGGCTTATTATTTATCCATTTCAAATTGCATTGATAGGAGTGGAATTCTGAGGTCAGTATAACCTGACATCTTCATAGTAATGATATTCTTTTAAATTAGTTTTCATGATCTGACCTGACTCTTAAATAAATAAAAATACATATTTTCCACCTGGGAGTAATATGATATTATACATATGCCCTATAATTTTTTATTATTTTTTAAAATATATTTTATAGATTTTACAGAGAGGAAGAGAGAGGGATAGAGAGTTAGCAACATCAATGAGAGAGAATCATCGATCAGCTGCCTCTTGCACACCCCCCACCGGATGCTCCCGCAACTAAGGTACATGCCCTTGACCAGAATCGAACCTGGGACCTTTCAGTCCGCAAGCCAACGCTCTATCCACTGAGCCAAACTGGTTTCGGCTATGCCCTATAATTTTTATGTTAAATAAATAAATAAATAAATAAATAAATAAATAAATAAATAAATAAAACTTTTAAATGCTAACATTCAAAGACAATGTTTAGTATCACTCATTCTTAGATGGTCTTCTCTGTGTTTTTGTTTTGTTTTGTTTTTTTATGAGAAAATGTTACCAAATGTAGTGGTGACAGCATGTTCCCGATTTAAGGCCTGGGGTGCAATAGGAATGGAGGAAATAATCATGAAATAGTTTCAACTAACAATGCAACTTCATGTTGTTGTAATATGTGGTGAGATCCTTTTTACTTAGTTACAACACATATAATAACCTAAATGGTGGTTATGAATTGAATATTCATGCTTGAATTTTTCATTCTTAGTGAGATCTTGAGGAAAAGGATAATGTCTATCTTTGTATCCATGTATAGCCTATTCCTTGCTTTGCATCTAAGTATCAACCAATAGAGAAATGCTTTTGGAATGAGATATCACACTAAATCTATAACATTGGTGATGCTGCGAGATAAACGAGCTTATTCATGCATTTGTTTATTAATTCAGGATTAATTCTTTGGCTCTCTCTTTTAAGAAAAGGCTCAGAGGCCAGAATGAAGGACAGGACAGGGAGTGTAGAGGTTCTAATTCTGGTGCTGCCAATTAAGACTCATCCCAGGTTTTGAGCTGAGGGGTTTCTCTGTGAAACAAGGTGTGTGTGTGTGTGTGTGTGTGTGTGTGTGTGTGTGTGTGTGTGTCTTTAAGATCATTTTTATGACAACTATAAAAGCTATCTTCTATTAAGTACCTGTCATGAGTTAGGCCCCTTATACCCATTATGTTACTTAATCTTTCCAACAACCCTCTAAGTTGGTATTACAATGCCCATTTTACAGATGAGGAAACTGATGCTAAAAGAGGTTAAATAACTTTTCAGTGGTCAATGGGGCAGAGCTGATATTAAAGTGAGGTCTGTCTGATTCTACCTTGCCTCTCCTGGCGAGTCTATGAGCCCTTAAATAGGTCTTGGTTAAACGTAAGTTCCACTCTTTCTTAAACATTTGTTTTAGGTGAAATATTTTATAGAATTTTATCAGAGTCAAGAAACATTAGAGTTCCTTGCTCTATAACAGAAATGTTTCTCTGTTTCTTTACTCTATACTATAGCCTTTGAGTGTCAGTCCTGGATAGGGGAATTTTAAGATGTCCATTTGCTGTGACTGAAGGATTTATACTCATGTTTCTCTCTAGTTTTTGTAGGCTAAGTAGGTTTAAATGCTGAGCCTGTATAAATCAAGAATCAAACATGATGGTTTGCCTTTCGCTTCTTCATTGGATGAAATTGTCCACTCTTACAGACCAGGCAGGTAGCATTCTCTCATGTTATTCCTCTGAGCAGTACTGACATGATGTTCATAAGAAACACAGTATCTGGGAGGTTTTTCAGTGTGGTGTTTCCTAAGCTGGAAAATATTATTGTATCTCTTAAAGTTCTGAAAGAAGTGACTGATAGGTCAAAAATTAAATTGATGGCATTTATCTGATAATACCAGTATTCTTGTCTGGATTGATTGATCTCTGCATAAAGCTAAGCTGGAAGGTGTTATTAAGGCTATTCGTAATAAATACAGAGTATCCAGAATAGCATAAACCCAAGAAATTGCTAGATAGCTTAGAAGAGTCATTGCTGGGGAGGAATTTTCCAATGAATTGAACTACTTTATGGGGTACCATGGGACTCTGGAAGAGACTGACAGGCCATTGTCTCTGAAAGGTGAAGAAAGATGGATTGTTGTTGTGGAAGAGACCATTTCATTTGTTTGTTTGTTCTTTCAATCATTCATTCGTGTACTCCTTAAATTGCTATTGAGCTTCTGTGGTATCAAGTGACATGCTACCCTGTTTCCTCGAAAATAAGACAATGTCTTATATTAATTTTTTTTCCCAAAGATGCACTAGATCTTATTTTCAGGGGATGTCTTATTTTTCCATGCGCTAGGTCTTATTTTTGGAGGATGTCTTATTTTCGGGGAAACACGGTAGTTATTGGAGTTGGAAAAGATGAGAATAAGTCACACCCTGAGGAAGTTATTTACCTCTGTGTGATCCAGTTTATCAATAAGGAGAAATCAGAGGAAGATCAGTTAGAAGGATATTGCAACATCATAGATGAGAGATGCTAAGAGATAAAGACAGAGCCACATTTAAGATAACCTGGCAAAGTAAACTTGAAAACAACTCATTCCCTGTTCAGCAAAGATCTCTGGATGCCTGTTCCATTCTCCATGTCCCTGTCTAAGCAGAGGCCACGTAGGCAGCATAGCCTGGCAGTCAGCACCCACACAGAAGCTAACCTTCCCAGTGATCTCTGCACTGTTCGTGGGCATTGTGACTTGGGGAGTCACCCTAGGCCTCAGTTCCCCTGCCCTAATAGTGTTCACTTGTTAGGGTGCTCTGAGGATTAAACTAAAGAGCTTAGTTGCTTTTAGCTATGTGATTGCTACCAGGTATTTGTTAGGGAAGGCAGAAAAAGCAACCAGAAAGTCCCTGAGGAGTGGCATCCTGGGGTTCTGCTAAAAGGAAAGAGAAGAAAGTGCCTGAAATGCCCTTTGGGACTTCAAATCCTAAATATTCTAATTGACCAATTTTCTTATTTTGCTTCTATAAAGTCCTCTTCACAGAAATTGCTCCCCTGAGTACTGGGT